TCTATATATATATATATATATATATATATATATATATATATATATATATATATATATATATATATATATATATATATATATATATATATATATATATATATATATATATATATATATATATATATATATATATATATATATATATATATATATATATATATATAGGGGGCGGTTCAGGTTCATGCACCTTGGTGAAAGAAATAAGAATAAAATCTAGCCTTTGGATCTGATGTATCGTGCGGCTCATATTGCATCCTGCGCTCAGGTTTTGAGATAGTGCATTTTCAAAGGATTATGGTGCATTTCAAGGTGATGCATTTTTAAACCATTTTGATGCACCTAATTTTGATGCAATCCTGACCCTTATATCTCACAATCTAAAGTACCAGATTCATTCTTATTTCTTTCATAAGATTGCATTCTCACCAGAACCCATATACATACATACATATATATATATATATATATATATATATATATATATATATATATATATATATATATAAATATAAAGCACCGAAGCATGTCATATATATATGGGATGGCTGACGACGTTGCCGTTGAGGACGAAGTGGAGGAACGACAGCTGTACAGGAGTGGGGCTTGTCGTCGGTGAGTTGCTCGGTGGCAGCTGTCGGCTGGGCAGGCTAGCCGTCAGGTACGGCAGCCGGGAGGGGGTCGGGCTGGGGTGATTCGGGAAAATCTGCATGTGGGGTGGAGGTAGAGGGTTCGGCTGGCGTATGATGGGTGGCAAACGGGAACGTGCTCTCGTCAAAAGCGATGTCCCGAGTGTGAAAAAAACGATGAGTGTCAAGGTCATACACACGCCAACCTTTTGTGCCAGAAGGGTACTCAACAAACATACACTTGGTGCTTCTGGGAGAAAATTTATTGGAAGTCCTGAGTCGTACAAAGCATAGACATCCAAAAATTCGGAGATGACTAAGATCGAGTGCTTTGTGATTCAGAACTTCAAACGGAGACTTGCCACCAAGCAGTTTGTTGGGAGTACGGTTAATTAAATAAACAGCAGTACGAACACATTCTCCCTAGAATTCAATAGGTAAGTGAGCTTGAAACATAAGGGAGCGGGCGACATTTAATATATGTCTGTGTTTTCGTTCTACCCGACCATTTTGTTGAGGAGTACCCACACAAGAAGTTTGAACAAGAACACCCAAAGTGGCATAATATGACCTAAGGTCCTGATTGACAAATTCGGTCCCATTATCAGAACGAACAATTTTTATGGTTTTGTGAAATTGGGTCTTATCATGGAAAAAATTGTTTCAAACAACTAGGGACTTCAGATTTACCCAAACTGCACGAGAGTGGTCATCCACAATAGTGAGAAAATAATGTGCACCAGTAGCTAAACAAGGGGTGTAGGGGCCCCATAAATCACAATGAATTAGGTCAAAAACACTGGTAGCTTTATTAGAACTAACAGGAAAAGAACTACGAACTTGTTTGGATTGAAAACAAATTTCAAAAGACTGTAAGAATTTAAGTTTAGAGCTACTGGCAGAAGGAATAAGAGACGACACAACTTGAACAGATGGATGTCCCAAGCGTTTATCGAGGAGAGAAGGATCCACTTGGCTAGCAAGTGCTGTAGAACATGGGCGAAACAGGAAAACTCCATTGTGTGCATCACCCCGTCCAATCTCCATCTTCGTGACACAGTCCTGTATGACACAACAGTTTTTGTTAAAAATAACAAGACAAGAGGTATCTCGAATAAGGCAACTAATAGAAATAAGATTACACTATAGATGAGGAACAAGCAAAACACCCCGAAGCACCACTTCGGGCGAGAGCCGCACACGGCCACAACGAGTGGTTGTAGTCTGTGTGCCATTGGGCAAGGTGATGACACAGGGGGCCATGGGAACCACATCGGATAAAAAGGAGATATTACCAGTCATGTGATGAGAGGTGCCACTGTCAATAAGCCACTCACGAGATGCTGCATCACCATTAGGCCCGGTATCCTTGTCGGAAGACGAAACGTCGAGCATGGAAAGTAACCGGGTCATCTGATCGGGTGTGATGCCCAAGGCGTTAGAGTTGGTGGCTGCATTTTCTCCCCTGTCACCGATCCTACCCCGCGACCAGACCCACAGTCAGGGGTGCTACTGCCGCCGGACGGTGCTCGGCCACCGCCGCGACCCCCACGGCCGGATGTAGTGCCGCGACCCCCACGCCCCTTTCCGGGCGGGTATCCATGCAATTGATAACACCGATCAACAGAATGTCCATCCTTTCCACAATGTGTGCATGAATAATGGGGGGGGGTCTCCACGACCCATGGTAGGAGCGGGACGTTGCATGGCAAAGGCGAGAGCGTCCGTACGGTCATCTCAGCCACGGACAATGCTCTTGTGGCGTTCCTCTTGAACGATAAGAGCATAAGCTCGGTGTATGTCCGGAACAGGTTCGGTGGCAATAATCTGAGATCGGATGTGACCAAATTGTTCGTCGTCGAGACCGAGCAAAAAGTGATGAGTTTTCTCCTGTTCCTCACGCGCCCGAATCAGAGCCGTAGCCTCACACCGGCAACCACAAGTTGGATCAACAGATCCATACAGCTTGTTCCATAAAGTCACAAATTGATTGTAATAAACAACCACAGTTTGTCATTTTTGACGCAAAGATTGGAACTCAGACTTCAATTGATGAATACGAGGTCCATTCGAACCCCCATATCTGGTCTTCAGATCTAACCATAATTCATGAGCAATTTTAAAGGAGATAATGGAAGGTTGGATGTGTTCATCAACACTGTTACAGATCCAAGAACAAATAATGGAATTATTAGCTTTCCATGCCGCCAATTCCTGTTCATCACTGGGTTTAGGAAACCCGGAGGGGTGGAGAAAACCTGCTCTGCTACGCCCTTCGAGAGCATTTATAATTGTTTTCTCCCAAATATCATAATTATCACCTTTGAGAAGATGTTTCGTCAAAGAATTACCCGCACTTTCAGATGGGTGGATGTAGTACGGGGAGGTAGGGTCGTGGATGAGCCTGACCTTCTTTGTTCCTTCAGTTGTCATGGGGACGAAACACGAAGCACCGACGTGAGGCGGTGGTTACACGGCCGACGTGAGCCAGGGTTGAGGTGGCAACCGATGAGAGCCGGTGCGGTAAGGCTGGTGACCGACGTGAGTCGATCGAAGAAGGGCGACCATCGTGAGGCGGTCGGTGAAGCTACGGTGGCGGCACCGTGCGAGAGGAAGAGACGAGCCTAGGGTTTGAGAGAATCCCGGGAAATTGGCTACGATACCATGTAGAAATTTGTGAAAGACTGAATTAATTTCCATTGAATATTCACAACGTATATATACACGCAAGTTTCCTAATACAAATATGGTAAGAATTACTTACAAGGAAATGAAGGAAATGAATAACTAAACAAATATATGCTATATATGCTAACAAGTTTATTTCTCTTTGTTTGTTTCTTTTTCTTTTTCTCTTTCTTGTTCTTTCCTTTTGGGCTTGTCCCTTAATAAAATAATTTCTTTCAAATACATACATACATACATACATACATACATACATATATATATATATATGTATATATATATATATGTATATATACATATATGTATGTGTATATATATATATATGTATGTGTGTGTATATATATATATATATATATATATATATATATATATATATATATATATGGCAAAGAAATCAGGTTTTATTAATGAAAACGGAATGAGGGGATACAATCATGGTACAAAATATTTTTAACAACATCAGGGCAAAGGTTGATATGCCAGTATTCCTTGAGAGGGGAATCTAAAGTCCTGTCCACCTTTGCGAGACCATCCGCAGCAGAATTCCCTTCCCGTAAAATGTGAGAAACTTGAGTTCCATTTTGAAGGATGAGTTGACCCAAAACGTCAATTGGGAAAGAGGAAACTGAATTTTTATTGAACAATGGAATCCTGGAAATAATAGACTTAGCATCAGTCTCATAAATCAGAGAATTGGAAATTAAAAGGGCCCATCTGATTGCTTTAATAGCGACATCCACTTCAGCTTGGTAGGCACTCCTAGAGTGTAGTTTGAAGGAGGCCCCACGGACCAGTCTTCCTTCTGCATCTCTTAATATAGCTGCACATCTTTTATGTGTTGTGGTATAGGAGGCATCAACATTGAGTTTAAGCCTACCCGTAGGAGGTGCCTTCCATTTAACCATGCGAACATAGTTGTGAGATGTGAACCTGGGTATAAGATTATGTGAGAATAACCAGGAGTCAAAATGGTGAAGTTTGCGGGGAGTCTTGATGGACAACCATTGTTTGGTATACGAATCAATCTGATTAATAAGACTTGAAGTGCTAAAATTAGAACATTTCCCATTAATGATCTCATTCATCTTTTTCCAGATGTGCCACATGATTATCCCTGGCAGATGTTTACGCAGTAGCCCATAAAGGTTAGGTGTGTCCCTCAACCACCAGTTCATATAGTGTTGGTTGATAGTAGATGATTCTGTGTGGAGGAAGTTTAAGCATCTAGCATAATGTCTCCAAATATCCACGATCTTAGCACAATCAATCAGGGAATGTTTTGCTGTGAGGCTTGAATTCATGCAGAAAGGACAAACAGAAGGGAGAGCAAACCCAAGCTTTCGAAGGTTTTCAGGGATCGAGAGGCACTTGCGTAAAAGTTTCCACATAAAGATGCTGATTTTGGACTTTTGTGGGGATTCCCAAATATTATGAAACGCAAGAGAAGGGCTAGAATTAGTCCTGCAAACCTCATAAGCACTCTTAAGGGTGAACTGCCCAGATGGGTCCTCATTCCAAATAAATGCTTCCTCCTCGGTAGTATGGCAGTGATTGAGAGCTTTGACATTAATCCTTGTGATCCTGGTCCAGGTAGGGGAATCCACTAAGTGACATTCCATCTCTCCCCGCCTATGATATTTGGCCCTCATGAATCTCCCCCAGAGGCTGTTATTATGTTCATATTTCCACCATAATTTGAGACTAAAGGCCTCCTCCAAGGATTGGAAGTCTCTAGTGCCAATATCACCTTCCTCTTTTGGTAAAGAAAGAGATTCCCACTTCAGCCAATGATGCTTCTTCTGACCACAACCCCACCAGAACCTTGCCATCTTTTGATGAAGAAGGTTGATGATGGATTTAGGAACAGTGTTTGCAGTCAAAAAGTAGTTATGAATGGTATTGAGGACATGATTAATAAGGATTAATCTTCCTGCCTGATCCAAGTGTTTTTGATACCATCCATTGAGTTTCTTGTCAAAGGAAGAAATGAGAAGTGTACAATGGTGTTTCCTTGTGATGCTAGAGTGGATAGGGCTACCCAGGTAGGTAAAAGGGAGCTTTCTGTGTGGCATGGTCAGGAGTTGTTCCAGCTTCCTAATTCTCATAGTATTAAACTTCTTCCCAACCATGAAGCTGCTCTTAGAGGAGTTAATAGTCTGACCAGAGACCTGTTGATATTTGGCCAAGAATGTCTTCAAATTGGAAATAGATCTGAGCTGAGCATTGGTGAAGATAATGAGGTCATCCGCATAAGCCAAGTGGGTGACAGGGATGCTGTTTCTGCCACAGTTGAATCTACCCAAAGAACTAGTGTGGAACAGTTTATTAATGTTCCTTGAGAAACCTTCATTAGCAATAATAAAGAGGAGGGGGGATAAGGGGTCACCTTGTTTGATTCCTCTAGATTGGCCAAAGAAACTACAAGGTTTCCCATTGAAAAGAATGGAGTATTTAGAGGAATGAAGGAGGTTTTTGATCATAATTAAGAACTGGTGACAGAAACCAAATCTGGGAAATATATCCAAGAGATAAGACCACTTTAACTTATCGAAGGCTTTGGCCATGTCAAGCTTGAGGATAATGTTGCCACCCTCAGCTTTTCTATCAATGTTATGTGCCATTTCTTTTGTGAGAAGAATCTGCTCCATGATATCCCTATCAGCCACAAATGCCCCTTGTTCTTCAGAGATGATCAAAGGAAGCACCTTGCTAAGTCTCTTGGCAATGCATTTTGTTGTAATTTTAGAGGCAACAGTTGATAAACACACAAGCCTAAAATCATTCAGTCTAGATGCATTATCACATTTGGGAATAAGACAAATATTGGTGCTTGCAGCAGCCACGGGGAGTGGAATGCCCAAGAAGACTTCTTGACAGGCAGAAGTTACCTCTCTCTTAACTATATCCCAGCATTCCTTAAAGAAATTCACATTAAAACCATCTGGACCAGCACAAGAGTTAGACTCCATATAAAAAAGGATGGCTTTGATCTCATCTTCAGAGGGTAAAAGCATCAGTTCTTGATTATGATGATGGTCTAAAATTTTAGGGATGTTTGCCAGGAAGCCATCATAATATACTGTAGAGGGATTCGGTTCAGCAAAATTGAACAGGTTATGGTAGTAGGAAGTAACCATATCTTCTAAAATTGTTGGATCTTCTGGAAACTTCCCTTGCTCATCCTTTAAGGAGTTGATTTTTTGCTGCCTTCTTCTTTCCTTGACCAAATTATGAAAATATCTCGTATTGGCATCACCTTCTTTAAGCCATTTGAGATTACATTTTTGTTTCCAGTAGCTATGTTCCAAGTTCCCCACCTGTAAAAGATGAGCTTTTTAAAGATTAACTATCTCTCAATTGGTATCTGAAGGATCTTTCTCAAAGTTAATCTCAGCTGAAGAGGCCTCATCTTCAGCTTCTTTCACCAGGTCAAAAATGTTACCAAAGTGTTCTTTATTCCAGGAGACTATTTTGGATTTGAGGTGATTGAGTTTATGAAAAAGGCATCTCATTCCTCCATAGTATGGGATTTCTGCCCACCAATCTTTGCAGAGATTTTTGAAGGCTTTCTGGAAGGGGAACTGAAAGTAATTGAAGAACAATTTGACACCCACCCAACCCCAGAAATGAGATCTCTCATGGAAGAAACAAAGGCTAAACTTATTATTGCTACCCAACAAGAGTACTCCTACTGGAAACAAAAAGCAAATATCAAATGGACAAAAGAAGGAGATGCAAACACAGCCTTTTTTCACTCCACTGTCAAAATCAGAAGAAGCCAACAAAAGATAAATAGCCTCAAGTCTAAAGATGGAAAATGGCTCCATAACCATGAGGAGATCCATGAAGAAATCCTCAACCACTACAAAACCCTTTTCATGTATAAAGAATCCCACAATGACAGATTCACTGCTAATATTCCTAACCTTATCACTCAGATGGACAACAACAACCTCACCTACCTTACAGATGAGAATGAAGTAAAAGAGGCTGTTTGGACACTCTCAGCAGACAGTGCTGCTGGGCCTGATGGGTTTAATGGTCATTTCTATAAAACTTGTTGGGAGCAAATCAAAGTGGACTGCACAAAAGCTGTCCAAGAGTTTTTCTTGGGGATCCCTATCCCCAAAATGTGTGCCCAGACAACTATCATACTAATTCCAAAGAAGGAAAACTCTCAATCCTGTGAGGACTATAGACCTATTTGCTTGTCAAATTTCTGCTGCAATATTTTCTCCAAAATCCTCTCCCAAAGATTGAGCTCCATCCTTCCCAGATTGATCTCACTTGAACAAGGGGGGATTTGTACAAGGAAGGGTGATCCATGACCAGGTCCTCCTCACACAAGAACTCTTCCATGGCCTTGACTACAAAACAAGGGGGGGG